GTGTGCCTTGGCAGTCGAATAGGTCTTACTGAGTTAGGAGTCCTCTCGAGGACTTTTAAGCTCTCCTAAACTTAGGTGCTACTTTTAGGCCTAAAATACTTAGTGAATAAAATTAGGAGTCCTAAATGTAAGACTGACACGCCCATTATGTTTAGGAGTTTCTCCTAAATTCGCCAGTTAGGAGCTACTTTTAGCCCTAAGATCCTTTGTGAATACGGCCCCTGGTCAGCTGCTGCATAATCACCTGAAGCGCCGCCCACTGTTTAGCGCGCTGCATGAGAAACTGACGGGCTGTCAGGAGAGAGGAAAAGAGAGGATCGGTTTCTCCCAGTTTATTATTCAAAGTTAATTTAAACTTTTGAATAATGTACTTCATCTACTACAAGTAGTTTGTTTGAATGTAATAATGATGTTTGTTGTAGCGCATCATTTATTGAAAAATGAATCTGAGCTTTTCGATCTGTTACGATTATAAACTGAAACAATATAAATTAACTGAGTTTTAAAACATCAGAATATCCGTTCATAGTCCGGTAATTACCTGCTAACGGAAACTCTGCTACGCAATTCTTATTATTGAAACATGACCAGTAAGTTTCACATTTGTCCGGTAACATTAATTCTTTCTGGACATTTGACCGGCAAGAAAAAAAATCCTAGCGGAAACCCTGCTACACACTGAGTAAATGTAAATGTCCCCTCAGTGGGACTAATAAAGGTATTCTGAGATTCATGAAAACTCATAAATCTAAGCTTAGTTATTGTTTTCAGAAATGTTCCCATCATCGACCAGCCCACCTTTGCCAGCTCCTTCTCGTCCACCTCTGTGTGGCGGGGGCGGGAGTATTTGGGCTCCTCCTTGGAGAAGATCGCCCTGGGCTGCTCGTCCTCAGACTCGCTCTCAGACGGCGGCTCGTTGATCCAGGCGTCCAGGTCCAGACTGCACAACAGACCCAGTTACAGCTCAGCGCTCAAGACTCAGTAACATACACGTGTGTCTTGATGGTGGACCACAACGGCACGAGACGAGAGACTAAATACACAGTCATGTCAAACTAGGGAGAAATCAACGCTTCATTCATAACATTGACATTTTAAACCAGATTCAAGTAGTTGCTGCGTAGGATATTTTTTTCTTGTGTGATCAAAACATTTCCATAACTCTAGAACACTATAAAAGGCTAAAAGGTACAAATATATTGAAAACAATATCTATGTAATCATTTAATTATTCAGAACTTGCATTTTTATAATAAAATATACTGCTTTAATCCATATTTGTTTGCACTGGGCCTATCAAAAAAAATAGTGTTTACTGCAGTCAAAGAAATGAAACAAAGCACTTTAAGGGCGGAGTTATAAAAATGTATCGAAATAGAGGATTTAAATGTAAAATATAAAAATTGGATACGGCCTTTGTCAAATGATGTACCATTTGAATGTGTTTATTCCTCATGTAGGGAGCCCACTCACCCTTCAGGAACAGGCACTTTCTTCTGTGCCTTGGGGGCCACAGGGTTGAGTTCTCCAGCGAACAGAGCGATGACTTCCTCCGCTATTTCTACGTCCTTCTGCTGCAGTTTCTGGATGTACTTGACCAGCTGCAGGATGCAGGAGGCCTGAGGACGAGACAGAAGGTGAGGGAGGGATGTTTTTCCCGACGGATCTAATACCGTTTTTAGTACAAGAACTTTTCTTGTGTGTTAAAAATTTTCAGTAGTTAGAACACAGGGACGGACGGGATCATCTCGCAGTTCCGTTGTTTTTAAGTAGTACGTGTGTATTAGAACAATAGAGATATACCGAACAAGAGTATTATCAACCTTTTGTTTATTTTTTTTTTTTTTTCATTAACTTTTAAAGTGTGGAACTTATAATTAAATGAGTGACGAGTGTGTATCATGTTAGACTATTTAATTANGAGAGAGAGAGAGAGAGAGATCAGATCAGCTGCTGCATAATCACCTGAAGCCCCGCCCACTGTTTAGCGCGCTACATGAGAAACTGACGGGCTGTCAGGAGAGAGGAAAAGAGAGGATCGGTTTCTCCCATGTTATTATTCAAAGTTAATTTAAACTTTTGAATAATGTACTTTATCTACTACAAGTAGTTTGTTTGAATGTAATAATGATGTTGTTTGTTGTTTGTGGAATCGTTTATTGAAAAATGAATCTGAACTTTTCGATCTGTTACGATTATAAACTGAAGCAATATAAAAATGAGCCCCATTAACTGAGTTTTAAACATTAGCATATCCGGTCCTAGTCCGGTGATTACCTGCTAACGGAAACTCTGCTGCACAATTCTTCTTATTATTATTATTGAAACATGACCGGTACGTTTCAAATTTGTCCGGTAAAATAAATTCTGTCCGGACGTTTGACCGGCGAGAAAAAATCCTAGCGGAAACCCTGGTTGCTGTATGACATTAACACAACAGTTTTTAGGTGTATGATACACAGCAATGCATCTCAAGCGAATGAAGATCATTTGAGTTTCACGATGATATCACTCCTTTGATCTTTTATCTCCATTTGATCTTTTATCTCCTGCTTGATTTCTTATCTTTCTCGAATGAGACTGACCTAATTGTGTCGAGCACAGATTACTGTAATTAAGGGGAAGAGCAGTTTAGTTGAGACATAACAACGGTTGGATTCCCACTGATCACTGGGAAGTTAGTGGAGGTTTAACATCACATAAGGGGCTGTTCAGATATTCATTTCAACCATGAGGCAACAGATACGAACCTGGAGGGCACTGCTCAGTGACGTTTGGGTGTTGTTTCCAAGGGCAATTGGGTCTTTGCTGCATGTCAATATAAGCTTTTCTTTGCCGTTGTATAACTACCCTCACAACGTACACATTAAGATTGCATCAAGGGCTTAGTAAGATTTTAAATTATCCTGTTCTTATGATTTTGTAAACTGCTTAAATTATAGTGAGCATTACCAGTTTTTTCCTCCTTATATTTCTCTATCTTTTGTTGTCTCTTTGCTAGCCGTGCTTTGCTACTCTCAATAATAATAATAATACATCATGAGACTTGTATAGCGCTTTTCAGGAAACTCAAAGACGCTTGCAACTATTTGCAAGGTCAATGGTTATGTCCTTTCTTTTTTGTTGGCTTCATACTTCTAGTGCTTTCTTCTTCTCTGTATTTCTATTTCTATCTGGCTCTTGCTTCAAACTCACGCCGTTCTGCTCGTTCTCCAGCTCTCTGCTGGGGATACTGAGAGCATTGGATAGATGGTTAGGAAGAGGAGAGGAGTGATTTCCTGCTCAGCTGTAACTTAATGAAGCATCTCAACACATAGTGTGTATTTATCATCCTTTGTATAGCCAAAGAGGATTGGGGAGAAAGAAATAGTGACATGTTATGAGAGAGAGTGGAAGAATCTGAAATATATGAAGGGAATGAATGTGTAAGAAAAAATAACACATTTGTGATTAAGCATGATTTGAAAAAAACACAAATTGTGTTATTTTTTTTATTGTTCTTACAATTGCGATATGATTTGCGGTATAAAAGTGAAGGACCATTGTTGAAACTTTTTAACATTATCATACAAAAATACATTAAAATGACCTCATTTAGATTTTGTTTTAAGTGGATCTTGTATCAAGCATGGATTTATTTATTAAGTCTGTAGATTACTAGTTGGCTGGATAGTATGTTATAGGAAGCACAACAATACTTAAAGGTCCCGTGTCATGGCCATTTCTACTGGTCATAATTCCATTGTTGAGGTCTACTAGAATACATTTATATTGGGCAATTTTCCAAACTCACATTGGTTTCTCATAAAGCATCTCTGTAAAGTATGTGTATTCACTCTCTGTCCTACACGGCTTGTTCGAGCTCCTGCTCCCCCCCCCTATGAGCTCAGTGGTCGTCTGTGAGACAGCGAAACCCAGCCCGAAACCAGCCCGAACACACACACACACACACACACACACACACACACACACACACACACACACACACACACACACACACACACACACACACACACACACACACACACACACCCGCAGCCTGGCTGGGAGTTTGTGTGCACATATCACAATCGGCGGAGCTGCAGCTGAGAAAAGATTGAGTGTGTGCGTGTGAGGAACTTAATGTAACGGCTCCGCGGACATAACGTAACGGCTCCGCGGATCGGTCCAATTGGTCCATGGGGTCGTCGTTACGTCACTTGGTTCCCGGAAGCAAAAAATGAAAAAGAGAAATGTCCAACGAGGCGTTCTGGGGCAGCATAGACAGGTATCTTCTGTGTTTAGAGTTTTACTCGCTACAGGGTGTACTTTGAGGGTTTGTGACCCTGCTGACCATTTACATGCAGAAAAACCTTCATAACACACAAGGGGACGGGTAATAACCGGAAAAGCCTGACATGGGACCTTTAATTCAGAATGATATCTTTCTTACATATTTAGACTTTACAACATTTTTGCGCTTGGTTCATATTTCCATTTCGATAACACTTTCTCCAATCTCTCCAGAGATGTCCAGACTCATCGGACTCAACCTGATTCGCCACATTAATGGATTCCCTCAGTGATTGCCTGAGCACCATTTTCATCTGTTTCCATGGAGTTTGCAGTTCCTTCATGTGTTTGCATGCAGAAAAGTTTTAATTGAATACATTCAAATTCATCAGAGTAATTTATTATTCTTACTATCCCCCTCACGATTAGACCCATTGTGTTTTGAGATTAGTTTCCCTACTCCTAATTCCCAGAGGACCAAGGTTTTGTATAAAGAATATTAGTTAGTGCATGACTGGATAAATTAATCAATTTGTTTTATTGTGTGTCTCATGCAGGCAATTCCCAGCTGGGGGCGACCATTGTGGACGCGTTGGACAGCCTCTACATCATGGGTCTGCACGACGAGTTCAAGGACGGCCAGGAGTGGATCGAACAGAATCTGGACTTTGGAGTGGTGAGTGCCCAAATATTAGAAATAATAAAAGATATGCATATTTCCTCACGGTTAGAACACCTGCTGTTGCTCAAGACAATCAAGAGGGTTGTTATCAATGGAAAACAGAAATAACACTGCCTCCTCATTCCTGTCATCCTTCATCCTTATTTCTGTCCTATCCCATTCCCCTCCCCCCTCTAAATCTCCGTTAACAACCTCCTTTCTTTTCCATCCCTCTTGTCCATCAGATTTTCTCATATATTTCTCTAAATCACTCCCCATGTGTCATTACCTCCTCCCTTCTTTCTGTCGATCAACCCCACCCCCTCTTTTCCCTCCTGTTATGTTTCAACTGTGTTTCCTGCTGATTCCCACATCCCCTGTCTTTCATCTATAACCTCTTTGTAGTCTCTGGAAATTACCGCTTTATTGCCTTCAATCTCCCCCTCTTTTATTGCATTGGACACTTGTATCTGTCCCTCTATCCATCATCTGCAATGCCTGTTGCTTCTTTTTATCTTCCAACCCTCCGTCTATCCTCATAGTTTCTCCTTTATACTTGCTTTATTTATTCCCTTCTTAGTTCTCGGTCGTTTTCATGTATTTCTTGCCCTTCACTGTTTCTTTCATCCTTTCACTAGCTGTCTTTATTTACTCATCCATCATTCCCTAAATTGATACCAATTTGTATCTTTCATTTTCTGTCTCTTTCTCCACTGCCATGTATTCTTTCTTTCTATCGTCCAATCGGTTTACTCACATTTATCCATCCTTCGGACATATTTCTCACTCCCTCTTCTTTCCTCTTACTATCCTCCTCTCCTATTTACTCTTATCTTGTATTTCCTTTTCTATCTGCTCCCCTATTCCAACTTGTCTGTCATCTAGGGCTGCTCAATTAATCTTATTTTAATTACGATTATGGCTGGCAACGATTACGAAAACAACATAATCGAATTAAAACGATAATTTTTTTATTATTACTTTTTTTTTAAAATAATTTTTGTTTTGTTTTTCAGTTGAATTATACTTAAAGTTCAGGTCAATCAACTGTTAAAAACATACTGTTCACAATTTTTTTTTCTCCAATAAATTGATGTTTTCAAAGTCAATGAATAATCGCATTTAATAATCGCAATTAAAATTATTGACCCAAATAATCGAGATTATGATTTTTAAAAATCGAGCAGCCCTCCTTTATTCCCCCTGTCATTATTCTGTCCATGCTTCCTCCTTGCACCACCTCCTCTATTCCTCTTACTCTCTGCCCGCTCAAACGCCTGACTCCTCAAGCTTTTTATTCCCCCCACTGAGGCAATCACAGGGCAGCAAGCAGGTAGGCAGAGGGGATCTCACATTGTGACACTTGGAGGGCTAATTAACCCCGGGATCACTCTGCTAGAGCAGCAGGAAGAGGGGTACAGGGAGGGATTGGTGGATGAAGAGGAAGAGGAGAAGAGTGAGGCTTAGATTGGATGGAGGGTAGAGAACAGAGGAGACAGCAAGAGAAGTGTGAAGGAGACATCGACAAGGAAGGAAGACCTGTGGAGATTCATTACAGACTGAGGAGGTTTGGATGGATGGACCAGGAAAGAGATGGACGGAAGAAAGATCTGCCGTGAAGAAATAAAAGATGGGGAAGGAAGATATGATGAGGAGAAAGAGAGGGAACCTTTGAACACTGCTCTATTATTATTATTATTATTATTATTATTATTGTTATTATT